CACACACACACACACACACACACACACACACACACACAAACACATACATACACATAGATAGCCTCTTAACAATCTGTATTTTTGCATTGCTTCAAAAATGCATTAAAGTTATAAAGGTTGCTGCTAGCTGGTGGACTCAGAATGACTGGTTTTTTCTTGCTGGTCATTGTCAAAATATTCAAACTGACCGTGAAATTTTCCCATCCACTGTGCTGGGCACAACATGGTGCAACAGGCACGAAACCACTCAGTTTTTCCTGATTTGCAAGCACGTAACGGGCAGAATAGCTGCCACTAGCCGATGGACTCACAATGATTGGTTTTTTTAGGTCCAGAGTTTTGATGACTGAGTCGAGAAATTTCGCAGGGTCACTTGGTACAGAACCTTCAGAACGACTGTTTCTGAATCCTGCAATTTAATTGTCAGTGGTCTTGCAACTGAATTAAGTAATTTAATTGTAAAAACAAGTATCGTCACCACTTCAGTAATCCGCTTTGTCCGTTTTGTATCCCGGCATTATTAAAACAACAAAGAGAATGCCGCCAATGTAGTGGAAAGATCTGCCTGAACAGCTATGCGGGATTTGTTTTTCTCTTTCGTCAGTGACCACGTTTCAAAAATTCCGCTACAGGTTCGCGGTAAATCAGCTAAATGTACGTCCGAACTCCCTTTGATCCACGGTGTTTTATCGATTTGATATTTGTTATCACGATTATAACAATGGCAGTAATGATTAACACACTGACCAGGTAAATCGATCGCAATTACGCGATATCCTGCACTGGCAGTCATTTGTATGATCGAAGGCCTGCCTCTGTTCCAGTCGCGCGAGGAGTAGGCTGCTCCATGCAAATAAAGCAAATCGCCATGATATTTAATTTTAAACGGCGGTTTCGCTTCCAAATAATACAAGTTAACATTCTTAAAATGGCCAAAATGGTTATTTAATATTTGAAATTATGAAATTTAATATTTGTTCTAAAAATAATTGATAATAATAATTAACTCAAAGCAGCTTGATAAGCGCTATTTCAAAAGTAAATATATCCCGTAATAGTAAATTAAATTGAACATATTTATGGTTGGAATTTTTAGTGCGTAAAGAAATTGGTAACTTAGACAAGATTATGACGTTTCGGTACATTAAGTTGCAGACGTTTAACAGAGCGCCATAGTTGTACTCGTCAGTAGGTTATACATTAGGCTTCAGCAAAATACTCATCAATAGATTATACATTAGATTTCCATTGAAAAGGCAAATATTAGCTACTTGTGAGACATACTGGAAATATTAAACAGCGAAATACATACCAGATATGAAGTGCTAAGAAAATGTGAAAACACTAGGAACACCGGGGCACAGTTTCAGCGGCCGCGAGGAAAAAACAATATTCATTTTGTGCAAATGTTGTGGCACAAAATGCAAAATTACCCACTTACGCTTTTTGGCCAGGTTCCGCACAGTTTTTTTTTTTTTTTTCTCTCAATTTGATTTGAACCAAGCTATCCCGGAAAATCCAAGCAGGCTTTTGAAAAGCAATTTAAACGCCTATCTGGATTTATGGTGTATCCTGATTTTAAGGCGTTTTCACAACTTTTACAAGCAGATTTAGTGTAGTGTAGATACCTTCATTTTCATTTTGAACTGATAGTTCTCCTTTGTCTTCTTCCCCGTCTCCTTCTTCCCTCCCCTCCCCCCCTAGTGGGAACCGAATCTCTCTAGAATTCTTTCATTCATATCAACTGGTAAATTGCCACTGGCATGTGCCAAGTGTCAAAACCGCTATCAGCTTCATTGTAAACAACTCGCGAAAGAGGGAGCCATCGGCGAACTTGCTAGCGACTGGCTGCTGTTGGCATTTCTTAGAATTCGAGCTGCTTCTTTTGTGTGCTTCTGCCACTCTGAATATAGAAGGATTTTGATTTCCTGACTTTTGAAATAACATTCTGTTGCTGAACAAGATAACATACCTCAACCACTATTGTGCTGTTCTTGACGATGACATGAACACCATTCGCCGTGATATATAAGTTCAGTGGTTTTTTGAGCAAATTTAGTTCACTAAGAGATGAGGCAGAATATTTCGTCAGTTCATCGGTGCTCGAAAAATAAGTCGCAAGCAACAGATAAAAAATTGATATAACACCGATCATTATAAATATTACAAACCTGAAAATTATCAGTGTTATTCACAAATTCAGCTCACTGAGAGATAAGGTAGGATAATTGTATGTGATACCTCAGCACCCAATTTCCACGATATTTTTTCAAATTTCATTGAAACGGGACAGAATTTTGACATCACATACTTCTACAAAGTACTAATAAGTTTAACTATCTTAAGGCCTAGAGTTATCCGCACTTTTAATTCAGAACGAAAGATCTAGAATAGCTGTTCGTGACTTGTGGATAAACCCCAATAATATCACTGGCACGAGATCCTTGCACCAATTTTCCAAGCGGTCTCGGTGACCTTACTAGGACAAGGAGATTTTTGGATGTTCTAGGAAACAATGCTTGCTACCTATCACATAAACAGATTTAAGGAACCTCCGAAGACAGATAAAAGATACCTCGAAATTGAAACTGACCCGAGCACCCGTCGGTCTGAAGCTGGCTGTGAACCTGGCTGTAACATAGTCGAATTACTGCTGGAAGAAATGACCCTACGGCCGTTAGTGGGGAGAAAGCAGTGCGGTTTACACATAGTAATGGAAAATGCTAATTTGTTATGCCAATTTTATGCAAATTCCGACTTCACGAACAGGAGAATTGATTCCATGCTAAATAACGTTAGTTGTAAGCTAATTGCAGACCACCTTTAGGATTGCAGTTGTAAAATTACGAAGATTTCGATTCCCCTGATGGAACAACCAATCCCTCTACGATTCGTTCATTCGTTTCGATGATAAATTGGTACTGGCGTATGTCAGAGAGTCAAATCCGTCACCAGTCTGCTTGCGATAAACAACCCTTGAAAGAGGAAGCCATCGACAGCCTTGCGAGCTTCTGTGTTTGCTACCACTCGGGCTACATCCCGTGTGTCTCCGTTTCTCACATACAGCAAATGCAGAAAGAGCATTAACTCTGACTTTAAGAAACTTGTTAAAACCGCCTGGACAATCAGAGCCAGGCGTCGATGTTTGTGATGCTATAAAATTACAACCTCAAATGCTTCTCAAGAGGTAGATAAATTACAGTATGGTACTTTGCTTTTCCTCCTTCCCCCTCTCTTTGCTCTTTGCCTGTCTCGTTTTTCCGTCTTACTGGGTCGCCTGAATCCGGAATCTAAAACGAATTAAATGGGTCCCGCGTCATATCAAGCAAATTTGTTCTTTTGTTCGAAAAAGCATTCAAGAGAAAGATTAAAAGGCTGATCTGGATGGTTTTCCAGGTGCAGAACCTGTGTGGTTAAACGGCCATTTATTGCAATCTCTGTCCCTCTCTTGACCCGTTTTGTTAAGCATCTTTGAGGCAAATGTTAAGCTTACATTTAATTTTGTCTTAGCGCTTATTACCTCCCTAAATGTTGCCATCCCTCTCAAGCGTGAACAGCGAGTCCGATGAGGGAAAATGACGAAAATGCATTTGACATACACTAAAACTGCTAGATGAGAAGAACAAACGATGCTGTTGTTGTTGTCGGAAAAGTGTTTATTTCAGAAAGACAAATGTGTTCGCTGGAGCGTTGCCTGTAAATAGGTCACATCCGGGAAGTACCAGCAATGGGAAATTTCTACTTAATAAATCTATCAAAAAACATATTCAGATTGCTGTAATTTTCACGGTTTACAGTAATCTAAATATCTCATGGATACCTGTTTATTAATCATATTACCCCTTTTAACCGATATATCAACATCACAACTGCCGTAGTGCAAGGTTCAATCGTGGTGCTGGCTAAGAATGTACACGACTTAACAAGCCGTAAGACCCCCGTTTATCTGATTATTTTTAAAATATATTTCTATTAATTTTATATATCTTTATTCCTCAATAAACAGTGTTGAATGCGAGCATCAACCGAAAACCTGTGTGAATACCTTAGCTGTTGTTTCATCGCTGTGTTTCTTCTCGCCGTTGTTTCAGCGGGCAACTTCTCTGTTTTGGGCCTCTTTCCTGCATATAATTCCGTACAGTCGTTCAACAGAATGTACATTAGCGGCCTTTCTAGTGTTGTTCGTTTGATATTGTGTGAACACCACTCATAATTCACGAATGAAAAGGATAGATCCTATGGAAATAAAGCACTAGAATCTTCAGTACTGCGCATTTGTCATTCAAAAAAAGAAATATCGAAAAACTGATGAATGCCGCTTACAAACAAAGCACAAGAAACGCGGAAAAATGACCACAACTGACCAAGAAATCAAATTAATTCACTGAGCGAGGAAGACGTCTTAGAAAATGAAAACAATGGCAAATTCGAGCACTGGTCACTAAAAAACACAATTTCGCTAGTCACTACAACACTGAGAGCCAGAAAAAAAAATTCATTATGCTTAGATTATCCTAAAAATTACTAATTTTCGTCATATTTTATTAACAAAATGTTCAAAAAAATACATCTAAAAATGGCCAATAGATCATTCCTGACTAGCAAGTCCATCCATTTTGCCTCCCAATCAAAAAAAAAAAATTGGCCAACGCACGGGCTGCCCGTGCGAAGATGCGTTTTTTGCAGAGTTC